TCAGGGTTCCTCAACCTTGGCGACTTGAAGATGTGTGGATAATATTGTGATATTATCTTTAACATTTGGAAGAGAAATATGTTTAACTTTCTGTTAATGGTAACATAAATCTAAAATTTTGCTGTGTACCTTATCAGCAGTTAGCATCAGTTTTAGTTTGCTAAACAATTTTTATTACATTATTCTTTCTCTTCTGATATTCACAGAATTAGTCAAGAGCACATGTGGAAATAAAAATAGTCAACCCATTAAATAACTTTTGTTTGTTAAAATTAATGTTAAAATTTAAGTCTGCAATCAACAAATAATATTTTTGTTCTTTAAAAATGTGTGAAAGAATTGAATAATTAAGAAACAGATTACTTAGCATTAAATAGAACATATTTCCTTTTTTTTCCTCACTAGTGGTAAACAGATTCAAAATAGCTTTTAGAAAAAAAGGCATTTAACTCTCCACTTCTATGTTGATATCCAGAATTTGATATTACTCTCTCCATTGATTGATAAGCTATAGTAAATAGATTAAAACTTACATTTTTAGCAGAAATTGCTTACAAAATAAAAGATGAACCTGAAATGAGGTAATAGTATATTATCTTGAGTATTTGCAGGATCAGCTAAACTGGAACTGTGTTGCTACGTACTCTTGGAGTCACTTGAATTGCAGCAGAATAGAAATGGAATAAATTCCTTTTAAACAGAACTATTTTCTTATTTACTTCCATAACATTGATTAAATGTTTTAAAATAATATTTAACAAAGATATTCTGTGTTCCAGTTAGGAGAATTGGAGAAATAGATGCTATTGCCATTGCACTGTCAGAATAGCTTATTGTGTCTGGGATGAAAAGAGAGCTAAAAAGTATGCAACACGAAAACCCAAAAATGGGAAAGAAAACAGGTGCGTACAGTATCTCTGCAAACTTCTGCAGTGCTTACTTATGAGGGGCTGATGACGTTCTGACACCAGCCACATACAAAGAGAGTCAAAAAAGTCATGCAGAGAAAGTTACAGCAACAGCACAAATCCTACCTAAGTTGTCACACATAGACATAAAAAATAGTCTTTCTTGGGTCAGTGACTTGGTATTGAACAGGAGAGAATAAACTGTCTTGTTATTACTTGGACTGCTCTTTATAGGTACATCATAATGTACAATTATGTTAAGTTTAAATTTTATAAGTAGTGTGTGAAAGCAATCCTAACTCTCCAAGGTCAGTGGCTGAGAGGATTAGAATGGCAGGCTGATAGCTCTTTGCCAAATGAAGGGAGGAAAGCTTATGTCTTAGGAAATAAATAACAATTTCTGTGCAATTTTTCAAGCCATCAGCAGTTTAGTGAAATAGGACATTAAAGAGACAGCTTGGGAACTAGTGAATCCACAGCCAATTTGTTTTCTTTAGGCAAACTGATCAGCTACATCAACTGAATTAGCAGTCCAGTAATACAGCACTTGTGCCATAATAGCTCTATTTTATTTGGGTGGAAGAGAGGAAGGAAGATGGATGTAAAGATTGGGGAGTAAATGATCAGTTGAAAGTAGTAGCAGTGATAGCTGAAAACTGAGCTCTGGAGGGTAGCAAAACTCCATTCTCTGATAACTAGAAATGTTTCTCAGTTGTCCACTTTGACATTAATAAGACATTTATCACAAAAATCTCACAATGCCAAAGTTTGTATTTCATCCTAAGATTTTTGTATTAGTTTTTGTATTATTCTGTATTTGTTCTGGCTGCTAATTTACAAATTTCATCCAAATGAGTATCAGTAAGGCCTAAGAAGATGCTCATAAACCAGTTAAGCCTCAGAGGTTCTTGTCTGTTTAGTTCTTTGCTGGGATCTTGTCAACATTTTACAGTCTTCTCAATAGGAAATACTGATGAGTGGGCCTGTAAAAGCACTATATTAACAAAGTTTGATCCTGGTATGTTACATGTGTTCAAATTCCATAAGTTCTCAATTCCCATGTACATGTGAATTTGGCTGGGAACTTTTAACTGGGACACGGTGTAGTCTTATGAGTTCTCTCTTGACCTCTAGAACTGTCATGTTAAAATCAGTAATTTTTCTTCCTACTGACTAATTTTGGCTATTCAACCTCAACCCAACTGAAATGCTGTGGCGGGACCTCAAGAGAGCTGTGCATAAACAAATGCCCGCAAACCTCA